GGAAAGCCTGCTACGCCACTAGCTGGACTGCTTCTTGCACAGATTGTTACAAGCCTATATTTAGCCTATGTTTCATATGCATGTATGCGGATGTACGCATGAATGCATGTGTGTGTATGTATGTATATATTCACATATATGTATCGGTCTACTTATACATGTTGTATTTATGCATTTGCGTATGTATTATGTGTGCATTTACGGATGTAATGCATATTTTCGTGTTTGAAAAATTCATCTGAAGAACTACGCAAGTTAGGAAACTAAAACTGTCAGGAATGTGGAACCATTATCGTACAAGGCAGCGCCCAAGAAATCGATTTTTAAACTTCTTAGCACAGCAACCTTCCATCTTAGACCCGAAATTAAGCAAAATTTGTCAATAAAAATGCAAAAAATATGACGTTTTGGCAGTTTAATTTTATAAAACATTGCGCCTGGAAGGCGAGAAGTCAGTTTTGAAGCTTCAATCACAGACTTATTCTACGATTTCAGATTCAAATTCATATCGATTTTAAAAATTTAAAATGAGCTAAGCAAACGGCATTTTGCAGCTCGAATTTACAGTGTGACACAAGGAAAACAGAACTCTTGAATGTGTCTATAATAATTAACAGGGAATGCGCGTGAGCCCCGGTTACTACCGTTTGTTTCTCTTTTTAGGAGTGTTCGGAAAAGAGATTCTTCTCACCGAAACAGACAAACCCTCCAAATTCTCCCAATAATACTTTATGAGCAAAACATAACAAACCTGAATCAGTGCTGACCGTTTCTGCACTTTCTCCAGATAACAAATTTTCGAGGAAAGGCTGAAGTGACAGAAGAACGTCAACCCGGTTCAATTTCACGAAAACATTGAGCAAGTCTTTTAATGGACGAAAAGCAATCTCTTGTAATACAGCCGAAGTTGGATTCGTGGATGTACGTAAGTGCTGCAAATGGAACTTTATCAATGAGAAAAATTTACTTTACCAGTTATCCTGTGCAATGGTTAAATGACTTTGGTGATGATTTCGACTTCTGGTAAGAGCTGATGAAAAAAAAATGCGAACCATAATTCTGCTATTGGAGAAGCCAAACTCAGCAGCAACGTACTCCCAGTTAAACATAGAGCCACGTGATGGGCAATTCAGCAATAGTTCCACCTCCTGCAGCCCATACCGTGATAAGCCACCGATACAAATATTTTCATGAATCATCGGGACCAAATCTGATGCGCACGGTGGAAAATCGTAAAAAGATAGCAATGAAATCGGTGCTTCCCCTTCCTCATCCTTCAAAATAGTTGTGAAAATTGGTGTTGAACTTAGCTTTCCTAAAACAAACATCTTTTCCATTCTCATCCAAAATTAGAATTTCCACCTAGCATTTTGAGGCTAAATTTCGTGTATTCCGGTTCGGTTTAAAACTTTTCGCTCGATAATGTATCGGCCAATCTCCAGTCTTCTGGCTACGCATTACTTCACTAAGTTCTTTGTGTGTGTGTTTTTTCCTTCAATTCTCGGTAAGAGACTGTCAAGTCAGTGGCGGCAAAACAGAAGGCTGATGACTACGGCTTTATAACATCATAAATGTCCAGCTTTCAAAATTTCCTGTCTTAGACTCATAAGAGAAAAATCAGATGAACAGCCTAATTTAAGTGTGAATAAAATGAAATCACCACACAAAAACTGTAGACTTGGAATTCCAGAATGTATCTATTTGCAAGAGCTATGACTGAAAAACCTTGCATTTGCTTGGGCCAGCAGGAGCTTCACATGCATCGCTATCCAGCATGATCTCCAGAGAGACCGACTGCATCTTTGAGACGTCCATATTGCACCCGGTTCGCGCTCTGAATAATTAACTTTTAAAACAAGCAAGAAAACCGTTTAAAGCGCTGC